CCGCAGATAGACCATCGTCGAACCGAATACACATTGTTTTTGTACTAAACATGCCGATATAGTATGTCGTATTCTATTGTCAGAATATAGCCCTTCTGCCAAAAAAAACATGCTGCGATTCTTGCACACAGTTTATTTTTCGTTTAAGAATGTCGCGAGGAATGGATATATCAAAGGAGCCTGACAACTCACGTTATAGACGTGGCTCGTACAATCAGGTTGCATCCTGAGGCTGTTGTCTCGCATAAGTGCACCCTCTAAACCCGGTGCGTAAATGTAATCAGACACTTCGAGTGTTCCGATGCATTGGATTACTGCCACAATACTTAACCTCGCTGGCAGGCTGACATTTGTGAGTCCAAGTTCAGTCCTTTTGGAGCCCAGGCCATCTTCAGTCCGATCATTTCTAGCCTTACGACGTGCCAACGAGCAGCTATGGCACTTTCCTCTGACAGTCGCTCGTCGTGCGTGTGAACGGGCGAAACGAGAAGGGAGTTTTCATGTTTAAGATTCTTTGTTCTCCATTCAATCACCACGATCATGTGTTTTGGTGATAAACTAACTCCGGCCATACGTTTGACAGTTGGGCATCCATGTACATATCATATTATATTACCAATTCAAGGGCAGCCTTGGGCATACAGATATTCACATGAGCAGTAAGTACGGGCCATATAGCATAGTGCCGAGCTGATGCTTGTCTTTGCTGACGTGCAAAGTTGCAGACTCCAAGCTAGATTCACATGTGTCAATGCGGAGCAACTCACTCGTCGTCAGGAAGCGCACGACATCGGTCAACTGTCCATTTCTGCCCAAGAGGCCGAACGGAGCAAATGGAGGAAGGATTACAACTTGTATCATTTCACGGGTGCTCTTCTCAGCTTTCCGCATGTATGCGGCTCCGAGAAAAAGAAAGGCACAGAATCAGGTCTTGTGTCAAATGGGGTAACTTGAAGGTCGGATGTAGTGCTCAACATCTGACTGCGAACATTGGGGTCAGAGCGGAGCCGTGAGTGCCCATCCAATTTTTGTCAGTAAAGCATTCTCGTAGATCTGTTCGCGAAGCATCGAACGGAAAACAGGACTCGAAATAACATCGCAAGATTCCGGTGAGACACTCTCTGCCAAGCGTTGAGCAATCCTAGACGTGATAAATTCATCTTCATTCGCTCTATACGAAGTGACAAGTACAAATGTTGCTATATAGGCGGTCTTGAGCACCTTCTCAATTCCCAGTTTCATTACCCCCGACCCCCATCTCTCTTTCAAAGTCCTTGAATGGGACAAGATCCAGAAGCAAATCGCCATAGAAGTACGTACATATTTGCACACTTTCAGCATGACTCACTCGGACTTACTTTGCTCCGCTCTACCTTTTAGACATTGACCTTTAGTCTACACACAAAATACAGAGCACCTGCAAGCTGTTAAGCGATAGACAAGTCGTATTGTCTTCACCCACCATGACGTACGAGACGTACAATCTAGATGAACAAATGTCATTACTTGAAATTTCGATCGATCACGTATGGTGTAAACTCCATCCGCGAGATTGCGGCGACCCTGCCTCGGCAGTGCGAGACGCGAGATGCCTTCGCTCATTTTCGGCGTCGACTCCTCAAATTTGGGCCACGGCGCCCAGCGGAGAAGGGCGACAAGACATCGAGAGTATCACATGGATAGCGACATGAATGGCGGCCTGATACGTCTCTAATAATGTAATCAACGTAGGTTTTCCTTCTCTTTATGCCGGTCTTCAAATCAATTGTGCATTCATCTTGAGTTCGGTAAGTTTGCAATGGGGTCGCCTAACAAATCCCTGTTAGGCGCCTTTCATATCACAACTTCATGCTGAAGCTTGAAGGATAGGCGAGATTTAATAACAAATGTGCAGATCTCAGTCGCGCCTAATTATAATACATAGGTTCAATGTATATTCCAGGGGTGCGCGGCTATGGCGTCAAGTTACCGAGCCCAAACCTGTTCTGGTCGTTGACCCCTAACTCATTCGATCGTGTTTGATCGCTCACCTGAAGAGCGCATCAAGGCGGTTCGACGCCCGCTTTTTGTTTCTTCGCGCCATCAGGTCCTCCCTCCATTTCGCAAGGGTCACATAGAGGAGAGGCTCTTTCAGGTACGTATCATTCACACGGCACCGCTAGTATCTATGCAGCGAGATGGGATGCCCATTGAATGCGATCTGCGACGACACATGTGCATGGAGCGTACAAGGAAGACCACAGTCCTCAAGGTCGCAGAGTTGGGGCGAGCATGTGCGGTCTATTAGCCTATGCGAGCTGTTCACGCGTGGCATTGTTGAGTACAGGCGCGATTGTACCCACGTCTGACAGACCGTGGCAGTGCGGCATTCCTCCTCCTGCAGGTACCCGGCGGTCACAGTCGACCGATTCAATTCAGCGTTATCAATTTGTATGGTATGTAAAAATAACATTTTCTTTTCACCTCGAGCTGAGAGCCTAGGCCTGGATAAAAGAAAGCGAGAGCTCGCCGGAGTCCCATTCTTTGAATGTGCACGACGACAGCAATGGTCCTTGTCCTGCGTCACGATAAGCCCTCACTGCTAGGTGCGGTCAAGACTCAGCTATCAGCGACATTCGTGGGTGTTGATGCATGATGACTGGAATATTCTCCGATCGAGAATCCAGGATATCAGGGCTGCCCCTTGACAGCCACCATGACAGATTGGGCTGTGGTGTGGTAGGCTTGGCGGGCACGTTGGTGGTTCACCGC